ATCTTAAATTATTTCTTCTTCAATGACTAAACAAATCTCATTATCTGTACTATACATTTTAGAGGTTTTTATTCTAAAATTAGCTGAAGTAAGGTTTTGCAAAATGTTACCAACACAGGACATCATCCTGCAAGTCAAAATTAGTTATATACTACCTCTTCAGTTTGTTCTTTGTAAACATTACTTACAACAAAAATAGATGTGAGGCATGTTTAGAGTAAATGATGAATGAAAAAGAAATATATACAGAAATGGATAATAATATGGGCAGGGAGTTTTGCATTTTTCTCTCCAAAAGTCAGAGCCTATTTGATAATCTAGATGGACACAGTAATGATAGTTAATTAGAAATAGAATGATGAAGACTTTGATAACCACTCCCAAAAGGTTAAAATAATAAAAATACTTCCTTCACTGTTTAACTTTCATAAGATATTCCTTGGCAGGGTTGGGCTAAGAATGAAAAACTACAGGGAACAAATCTGGCTTCAAGTTGCCTGTGAATGATCATGAAACTGAAATTTCATGTTGAGACAGTGTCCGTTAAAGACTCATTCAGTTTGCTGGCATTGTATTAAAGGACATTTCCCTGCACCTCACTGAAAAAAACTGCTGGGGTGAAGCATAGGGCACTGGTGGGAAATAGAGCTGCTTGTGAAAGGTGTTTCCAGCATTTGACTGAAAATCATAAGAAAAATGTTAGCTGTTTACTAAAAAAGCAAAGTAACCTTTTTTTTTAAATACGGCAATGTGATAAATGAATATAATCTGGTAAACATAATTAGAGTTCTAACAAAACTACACAAATCATATTTAGACTACGTACAGTATGCACTCATTTCATAAACTGCCAGTTTTGCAGTACTTGACATTTGAGTGGATAGCTTGGAAAGTAAGCATGTTGCATTCATAGTGAAAGTAATATCTAATCTGTACAATGCATAAATAAGATGAGTATACTGTATCTTAAATATTTAACATAATAGCAATTTGGCTGATGACCTACATGTAGTTTATAGCATAGGTCAAACTGCATTTATGCCACAGAGACAAAAGTTAAAAACACAGATGCTGCTGTACAAAAATTGGGTAGTTCACTTCTCAGTCTCTAAGGCATATACTGTACTACCAATACAGGTAAAGATGCTCAGCTGAAACAGATCCTGCAAAAATCATGCCTTTTGAAACAAAATAGGAAACAAAAGCCCCCGAGACTCTTATTTTTCAAAGCCTGTGTGATACCTTTTAGTTACCTTTAGGAGGTAGGATAAAGAGTGGAGGTTTAAAAATTAAACTGTAAACTTTCTCTTTTCATTATAAGGTATGTGCATTCTGATTAATGTGTATTGTGGAATTTAATTGGTTAACAGGAAGGTTATTTTTAAACCTAAATCTAGCTCTCCATTGATCTTAAAGGAAGTGAATGTGTGTACAGCTGTCTGCCACTGTTCGTTGTCAGTGACTTTTGTTGACATACTGCTAATTCAACAGTGGCAGCTCTCCTTAGATTCCCTAAGCTGACTTTGAGTCATGAATGTTATTGGCTTTCATTACAGATGAAAAAAGCCTTTCTTATTCAGAAATCCAATAACACACATTTGTATATCATGACATACTGTATATACTGTAAGATCTCACATAAAGACAATTTCTTTCCGTTACATGTAAAACATGTATTATGTAAAACTACGGACAATTACAAATAAACTGTCAGTAAAATAGAATGTTATCAGTTCAATGGGTTCCTTAAGCAAATATTTATTAAAAGAGGTTTTTTTCACTCCCCATGACTTTGGAGTTTTTTGGGGGGAGTGGAGAGTGTGTGTTTTGACCCCTACTTGCTATATAGTTAATATTATAGCTATATTACCTGAAGACTAGAAGTCATGAGCTCTGTTCTTCCTTCAGTTTTTGTTTTTAGATTTCAGCTAGAAGTACAGTAGATTTCCTACAATTCCATTGATACCTGATGTGCAGATTCTGAAGTGAGTACAGTACATAGAATGACTACAGTATAACAAAAAGAGGTAAAATTATACTCTCCATATGTATGCTTACAGTATGATAGATACATACAAACATTGTTCAGATCTTGAGGAATGTGAAGGTCTTCTCTTGCTCTCTCAGCTAATGTATTATGAAAAACAAGGACAACATTTCAGCTTTACTTGAGGAGAAAAGACAAGTTAAATTGTATATGTTTAATTAATATCAGCGTACAGGACTCTTCCTCAACAAAGATTCAGATTCATGTTATTTAGTTTGGTTAAATTGTGTATAACAGGTAGCCTTTGGATTGCAGCATTGCTGCTGAATAGGAAACTTATTTAATTTTGTAAAACCTTTGTTCCTGTCTTTTTCTATTGAAGACAAGGGCCTGCAAGAAGGTTTTACATTAATGAAACTTACCCAGTTTGAAGTATTAAATATTGATTATTTCTATTCAAATTTTATTAAAGTTTGAATACTTTCTCACAGCACATTATGTTCAAAACATGACTGTGCCACAAGTTGTTGAACTCAAAATATGATACAGTATCTGTATTCTAAGTACTTTCCTCACAATCAAGTTATAAATTGCTGTTTCTCAAAATCCAATAAAATGAAATTGTGTAAGACTGACAATGTTAGCTCAATATCTAGAACACTTTCTAATGAAGTTTTGATTCCCTGAGTAATTCTGAGACTGAAAAAAAATCATATCCCCAAGTTTATTTAGATGCTGATTGACTATGAATATCCTCTTATGAACCTTGTCATCAGTGCTTTTACTGAGCCTTTAATGCTTACAGCTGTTGCCTTTTAACCTTGTGTACTCAAAACCTTCATTATTATTTTAAGATAATTCATTTTCCCAAACATCTACAGACCACATTCTTAAACTGCAAGTCTTCCGATCGAAACCTCTTAAAATATTTGATCAAATAAGATGATACTGTATATGACAGTAAATTATATTTTAAAGGAGCAAATCTTGTCCTAAAGAAACAGACTGCAGATGTGAAAAATTGCCTTCCTTTGAACTGATATACTGTAAGGATGCCTGATGTGAGGAAGACATGAAAATACCTTTGATCCCAGGAATGTGAAGTCCATTCTCCCATAAATGTGGATCTGTTTATAAACTGACTGAATTTTAAGTGTACTGGGTGTTTTACGTTTTATCCATATTTTTAAACCTGTAAATAACATTTGCTGTCTATTTGTAACCTCCTTATTTAGAATATCCAATTTCTTTATACATTTCTATACCAAGATGAATCAAGGTTTAAAAAATTGAAAATGCAGAATATTAGACCTATGCTACAGTATAAACCACATCATTCAACTTTCATCTCAATTGTAGTCTTATGTAAATAAAATTCAGAATGTATACAGTATGTAAAGTAAGAGATGTTATAATAGATATTAAATTTAAAAAGGCCATTAGAAGCAGAAATCTAATTGGTAGACAGTTAATAATTGCTTCCTTATTCTGTTTTTCAGATTATCTACTAGACAGAATGTCTGTAGTGACCTAGTGTTTTCAAACAATTAAAGATTGAGTGAAGAAAACTTAGGCAACTGTGAACATAATTTGATTTCTTTTGGTTTCCAAATGGTAGCTGCAAATGAAATTAGAACTAACACACGAGTTTTTATGTCTTTCAATTTATTCCTAATATTCCTGTCATTTGGGTACTGGGTATTTAATTACCCAGTCATTTCATTTTTCTTAGGTTCTCTTTGTGCTTTTCCTTTGCAGGTTTTGTTTGCCTTCTCACCCCTACGATTCTAGTTTAAATGTTTCTGATTTCCTCTGTAACATGAATGCCATGTGGTATAAGAGTAACAGAAGAATGTATTTGCGAGTGTGTAGGGGCCTGCTAGGGAAGGGATGAATCCTGTAAATGTTGCTTAAAGAGGAGATGACCAGCAGAAACACAAGAGAGACATGACATTAGTGTATTAGTGAAAAGACAGGATTTGAGGATTGTTAGCCTACAAATTGCAGAAACACCCATAGAAAAGATGTAGAAGAGTAGGGGAATCAAGAAAAAGTTGTGGGGGACACCAAATTAGAGCCAGTAAGGAGCACAGACTGAGTAACTAGGAGACCAGGTATGAGTTAAAAGCAAGGTAGGAGGGGAACTAGGTATGAACAGTGCCAGAAATTCCAAAGGTGGCAGAGTGATAAAGAATTAAGAGAGGAGAGAAAAGTGGTCAGGCTTAGTGAAGAGAATCTGCAACAGAGGGCAGATTTTCTAGAGTATGCCAAAGCGAAAGCTAGAATGGAATAACTTTAACAGACAGTGCCGCAAGAAGAAAGCAGAGAGTTAGTGGTGCACTGCATGCTCAAAAGTTTTTGTATGAAAGGGGAGAAGAGAGTCTGCCAATAAATCATAAAATAAATTATTTAAATGTTCAAAAAGTGAGATCTCAGTAGTACTATATGTAAGACAAATTTTCACCCTTTCACGGCACTCTTGTCTTCTTTAATTTTTTCAGATGTTATCTTCAAAGCTGTTTGTCTCTCTATGGTAGAGGTGCATTTACAGATTAAAAACAGATAAGCTTGTCTGAACAAGTGTGTCAGATGGCAGACCCCCAGAAATGTGAAATCTTTTCCACTGACATTTTGAAACATTTCTGAATAATTCATTTATTGAGCATTTGTATTTTAGTGAAATGCATTATGGTTAAATGAATGAGAGACGAGATCAACAGTAATCGTCCAAAAATAAGACTTAATCTTAAACATTTTTAAATTTTGAGTGGGGTATCATTCCTATAAAACCATATCTGAATGTGAATGTGAAATCCTTGGAATGCTGTAGTTGTAATTGCATCAAAGTCATCATTGCATAAAACTGCATTAGGACTGTTATTGTTTCAGATTTGCACTAAAATTAAACTTAGATGCCTGTCTTTTGTTCTTTAATAATTAAACATGAAGATTTGTGTGTTGTAATCTCCATTATCCCTATGTTTCTTTTGTTTTTCAGAAATAAAATTACACAAAGAATTCACATGAAGGTTTTCTGCAGTTTTATTAAGCAATGAACCCTCCTAATCTAAGATGAGAGAGAAAATGGATCATCTACTTTGATAAAGGATAAAGCAACGTAGTTATGATCCACTTTGTCTAAGTGGTAGAAAATAAAGGCTTGTTTTTGTACTATTCTCAAAATGGCTGCTGAACAGACAGTTCCAGTTGTAACTGAAGTAGAAGGTGCTGATTATGACTTTCTATATGTAACTGAATTGAGTGCTGAAGAAAAAGACTCTGTCTATGGCTTAGTAAAAGAAAGTCATCTAAGTGCCCAAGCAGGACAGAATAAGCAACAAAAAATGGTCTCTACAAAGCGTGCACGTGTAATAAAGCATAAACCTAGTGCAATTGTTTTCTCCAAGGACTGCACATGGGAAGAAACAGCAGCTAGGAGGTTCTGCAAGCTTTATAGAGAGCCCAGTTTTTATAATTGTTTGCTTCACAATCCTGATGAGTTCTGTACTCTTGAGACTGCCTTTACAACCATGGACCGGGCTGACCTAGAAAGTCATACACTTGCCAGAAATCAGCAGTTCAAACAAGGCCCAGAAGAGGCTCTAAAGCAACATCTTGGTGACACTTCTACCGGCCAATGCTGTCTGGTAAGTACTAAATTCTACAACATTTAATGGATATTTTCACTTGTTGGGAACAGTACTCATAGTGAATCATTTCTCTTGACACCAAGGAATCTGTACTTTCAGACAAATCTCCCAAGATGTGTATGATCCAATTTAATAGATTCCTGCATTTTTCATGGGGTTTCTTTAGTCTTTGGCTCTCACTCATTTCATTTGGCAGTTGCCAATAAATGGAAAAAGTTACAGGTCAAGTTAAATATAATTGCTTCTTTTCTGAGAGTGGTTTTAGTTTTGGTTTGCTTTAATGACTATTGACATTTATATTGGCTTATATCTCTTCTACAGTACAGTATGTGTGCTTTCGTACTGATTTTTCGGTTATTTATTTTGCCTTGTGATTGTATTTTTGGTATTTTATTTTTTCTTGTGCTGCAGCAGTGTGAGCTTCTTGGCCGGATCATTATTGTATGTGCAGTATGGATATAACTTCTGAACCCCTGAACCAGATTAACTCAATTGTTTTCAGTAAGATACCAAGCTCTATACATGTATATGCCTTTGAATAAAAGCATCAGCCAAGTTAACAACAATAAAAGAAAATCTGTTCTCATTTGAGATAACTGGTGAAAACATGAATTGGCAAATACAAAGAGGAGAACGAACTTTTCTGTTCTTTGAACTACATTTTGATTTACAGTAAATGTCGAGCAATAGGTGAAAAGAGGCTGAAGGAATCAATACAGTGACTAATCCTTCAAAGAGCATGTAAGACATGATTTTGATATGTAGCCTCATCTTGTGTATATTCAGCTTGATATTTTTGTCTTTTTGATTTGTCCCCCTATCCCCTTTATTCTCCTACCCCATATCCCCGGTATATACTATAAAAGCAGCCATGAGGTTATTATCTTTTTCTTTGTTGCAAAGCAATAACTTTTTGTGCAAAACCTTTGCACAGTTAGAGAATTGTGAATCATTCCTGTTGACTGGGAAACAACATGTCAGGAAATGCTGGTGAATTGAAAACCCGCTGCTGTGAGGCGATAAAAATCTGAGAAGGAATTTTACTTCTGAACACGTTTCTCAATTAAGAGCAGCATTAAGCTTGAGCACCTGCCAGCTCCTATTGCTTAAACAATGCACTTTAACTCAAGCGCCGAAACATGTTATGGTTGGAAAACCTTCATCCTATGATCACCACAGTGAAACAAAAGAAACAAAATGAAAGAATCATATAGATTTTGGCCGAACTGCACAATTTCAGTGTAAAATCATAAATTCTATTTGTCAAGAATGAGTGCCAGACTTCTTAAAGGAGTTAACTGATTGTACCAAAGGTGCCAGATTTAGTTTATAATTCCTACTACAGCATCCATTATCTATTGTACAAGACACACTTTGACTTTGGAGGTGTGAAGCAAACATTACTTTTATTTAATCGTGCAATGGTATTTTGAGAAACAATAACAGACAAGCTTCAAGATTCCTAGCAGAATTAATGTGGTTTTCTCCTTCACCACATAATCAGTCAGTAAGGTAATGAAACCGTAGTCATGTTTCTACCCAGTTTTATACTTTTGTTGGGCAACAATGGAGACAGATGCTATTTCTTCTGATAAGGCTATTTTTTATTTTAGTTTAATAGCAAAATGATAAAAGAATTTCATATCATGGATATACTAATGTTCCCATATAAACACAAAGCACCCATCTAACATAAAGAAGTGGTGCAAATCCCATTACACTTAGACTTTTTATATGTTTGCTCAGTCTAAGGCACACTAAGGCTTTCTTGACGATGATGAACTGTATACTGGTTGTAAGAAACCTGTTAACAGAGTAGGTGTCTAGCTTAAAACAAATTATGAAATGAGGATATTTCTTAGAATCCAGAGAATGAGAAGTACTTCAGTGAACTGTAGACTGGTAAATGAGTAATGCTGCACAAAGAGATAAGTGGTTTCTTTAGTATAAAAAAGTATGAAGAATATTATAAAACAGACAATTTATTTTTGTCAATGTGGTTTGACCTTTCTAAAGTCTGTAATCTTTTACTGTCTGGTAGTGTAAAGTTTTGAACAACTGTGCCTTCTTCTTTCTGTAATTACTCATAAAGCCATCTGTTTACCATGACAGCTTTGTACTCCTGTTGTTTTCCAATCCTTTGTTAGGATAAGTGCAATGCTTTTGTGGGAAAGAAACAGCTGTAAGTCTAGGAACCTCTGATGCACTACAAGAATAACTCACTTAGTAAGTGTTGTTAAAAAGAAGGCACAAGGGTTAAAGTGAGGATCATTATACAGTATATGATACTGCTTTACATAGGAATTGACATTTGGCAATGAAAATGTGCACACTGGCGCATGACACTAATATCCTATTAGATTTCTAAATATAAATTCCTGTACTTTACTCATGTTAGGGCAAATTAATCTGTTGTTCAGTACAGCCTTTTGCCTGTTTGTGAGAAAGGCACTTATATGAATTGATTTAATTCCTATTTTTTCCTCTGTATGCTGCTCCTTAACAAGTGTTACTATTTGTTATCCCCTCACTGCTATTCTATTTCATTCAATGAGGCTTTCTGCATTTCTTCCATCTGTAACGAAGCTTAGTTCAGGACCCTGTGCAGACGGTATAATCCGGAAGTAAGTGGAGAAGGACATTGGGGAGGGTATAGCAGGATAAGGACGGGTTGACAGACAGGGGGTGGTGATCCGCTGCTCGGGGGGCGTGACGAAAGCAAAGAAGTCCAGGGAAGTCCTAAACAGGAAATCCGGGGTGCAGTCCAAAATCCAGTAACCAGGTGATCTATCCAAGACAGACAAGGTTAAAATCCGGAATGGGATCCGGAACGGGAACAGGGAACCGGGAAGATAAAAACAGGATAACAAGGCAAGGTGCTCCAAGCCCCAGTCTCAGATGGTCAGGAGGCTGTGATGAAGAGTATGCCGTCGGGTCTCTCCTGGACCCGCTGGTAGGCGGGCTTCCGGGAGTCCATCTCCCAGTGCTGAGCCAGGAATAGTGAGAGAGCCAGGCTTAAATAAGGAGACGAAACAGGGGGCAGGTGCATGTAATCAACTAAAATACGAAAGGGCCAGAGCGCCCTTAAGAGGAGGGATTGTGATCGTGACATTGGAGAAATTCTGTCATTTTCAATAAGTGTTTTTAATAAGACAATTTATCATTAAGAAATACAAGGAAATTAAGCTGACACTACAGTATCATATGGGGGATTTTGAAGTATTTACAGCACATCAGATGTTATCAGCATTTAACAAGACATAATGAAAACAAAGTAAAAAGACAGACAGGGGAGATATCATAAGCAGCCTGACATAGAAAAAGGAAGATAACAAAAACCACAAGCATTGTATGCAATGTTTGAAAAATATCTTCACAGCATGATGTACAACATAGAAAATGGGAGTTTATACAGTATAATGTAATAGCTGTCATGTTTATTGCCTGCCTGGGGCATTTTTGACTATTGATCTTCATGGTACATGAAATACTATGTAAAATTTAAACTATTCCTGTTATTTTGTTACATAAGAAAGACTGCTTAATCAAAATGGCTCTGGGGGTATGTAACGTGACAGAGAACTACAGTGACAAGCTACTATCAAGAATGAGTTAGCATCACTGAGTATATTTATATCCTAATAAAAGCATTAAAGGTTTTCAATCAGCAGAGAGACAAGGAACGTAATGCTTAGTGTTTGTTCCATTGTAATTCATTCTGTTACATTTCTTCTGTGTCATGGGGAGATGTGGCAAAACAAAAACAAATAAGTTTGTGTGTAATAGTATTTCTTCAGGGGGAGAGAAAGGATTCATTTTGTTCTTGTTGTCCCTTGATGTCTGTTTTTTGTCTGTATACACGGTCTGTACTGGGAGGCACATCTTGATGGTTTGCAGGGGAGGGAATGGATCATAAGTGTGTGCAAGTCCTGTTTGGTGTGGCAGAATGTTTGTGGAGTTGGTGGCAAATTTTGCCATGTAAAGGCATCTTCTTCTTCAGAAGGCTGTATTAGGGAGCCTTTGTTGCGTTGTGGCAGTGTTTTCAGGTTTCTGTGTTGGAGTGTTGGTTTGAGGAGACTAGCAGATTTTGAGAACTTGTATTTCAGAAATTGGTTGATGTTTGCTCCCCTGGGGTATTTGAGACCGATTTTCAAAGGGCTTTACAGGTAATAGGGGCTCCCCTCCACCACCACCAATGTGCAGCCCCCACCTGGATGTTGTGACAGTAGCCAAAGTGCACTAGTACACTCACTATACATCAGCTATGAGTGGGGAGAAGGAACAGAGTAATGAAGCCAATTCATAGAGGACATGATTGGTAAAGGCCAGGGGGCAATTTGGCCAGGACACTGTGGTAACACCCCTACACTTTTCAAGAAATGCCCTGGGATTTTTAATGATCAGAGTGATGGAGACTCAGGACCTCTTTCTTTTACCTCTATTTTATGAAGGTTGGCGCCTTTTTACAGTATAATGTCCCCATCACTATACTGAAGCATTTGGATCCACACAGACCACAGGCAAAGAGCTCCCTGCAGGTCCCGCTAACACCTCTTAGTGGGATACCTCTTAAGCAGCAACCTTAGCTTTCACAGAAGGTCGCCCATCCAGGTCCTGGCTAGACTCACACCTTCTGAGCTTCAGTGGGCTGCCAGTTGTGAGTTACAGGGTGATATACTGTACATTAACTGCTGGCAAGGAGATGTTCCCTAACTTGGGGTCAATGGATCTATGCTGTCCGGGTTGAGAGGGAAGCAGTAGGTGGGAGGTTTTTGGTGTTGTGGCTGGGGAAGTTAGGCCTGATTCTGGTATTGTCTTTGCTTTTGGTGGAAGTGCAGTAGTTTGTTAAAAAAGAATCCAACCTAATTTAAACCAAACCCAAAAATGGAAGGAATACTAACTGGCAGTGAACTGACAGAGGCTGGATGGAGAAAATGGTACAAAAACAAACTGCAATCCAGAAATTATATTAAACCTTTTCATTTAGTTTGGTTTCT